TTTTTCTACTGTGCACGTAGCATGTTATCATTTTGTCTATGTTTTAAATGCTAAGGATTTGGCAGCTTTTACTTTTTCATGTATTGATGATTTCAGGTTTCAAATTCTCTTTTCAATAATATCTAAACTGTTATTGAATTCACAAGCTTTGCATTTTGTATCCTTTCAGTTCAGGAATTCAAATTTGTAAAAATAATCTGTAAAGCACTTGCCAATAAAACGGGGCACGTTATTAGGGCAGGCATAGCCACATGTGAGCTTTGGATTCTTGAGAAACTGATATTTTACATTTTTGAATTTTACTGATTTTGTTTTGTCTTTTTTTTTTTGATTCTTGTTTTATTGTTTTCTGAAATACAGTCTCACTACATAGCCTGAGTGACCATGAACTCATTATGTAGCTAGGATTGGCCTCAAACTCCTTCAGTCTCCTGAGTTGATATTTCAGGTTTGGGCTGTTATGCTTAGCTGGATTTTAAAGTTTAGCCACACATGGATATTGTCATATTGTACACTACAGAGTCAGAGCGTATCTAACGAACTTGTGTGTATACACTCCAGAGACCACCAAATTACCATGTAAAAAAAGCAGTTTATTTTAACCTTTTTATATAAAATTGTGATTTTTTTATTTTTATTGAATTTTTGTGAATTTAGTACATATTTTGGTCATATTAAGACTTCTTCCCTTACTTGCACACCCTCAATAGCCTCCCACCCAATTTCCTGTAATAAATAGTATATATTAAGGTCTATCAAGTTAAACCTGTATTCCCAAATGCCTTTCAGTGTGGGGTCATCTACCAGACCCTTGTCAACCTATCCAGCATCACACCCTTAAAAGAAACCTTGAGTCTCTCTTTCTCAGTTACTCATGGTTATTAGCCACCAGCTGGGTGCTGGGAACTGACCAGGGTCCTCTGCAAAAGCAGCCAGTATTCTCGACTGTTGGGCCATATCTGCAGAGTACTGTGAAACATCTGTTCCCTTCAGAAAATCATGTTTTTTTATGATGCCTATCTTTACGGTTGACACTATCCATATGTGACTACTGAGTTTTTGAATGACAGTAATTCTCATATTCATTACATGTTTAATTCATTATAAATTGAGTGTATTTGGCTGAATAAAAATATGCTAAAACTAACTTGCCTTTATCATTCTTCTATGGATATTGTTACTTCAAAAATTTTAAATTACATATATTTTTTGCCCTTGTGCCTTATATTGTGCATCAATTATCTGCATTAGATTGGTTTATACAATATAGTTCAGGTAGTCCAACAATAAATGTCTCACACAGGAGAGACTAAGTTGCTCAGTCCAAGAGACTGAATGTCTCAGCAGTTCACAGCTGCTGCTGAAGGCTTGGGGGATTCTTGGAAACAGATGCTAAAATCAATGAAAGAACGCCACGGCATTGGGACAGATGGAATAGTAAGAGTGAAGTCAAGCAGCGAAAAGAAAATTTCCTCCTTCCATGTCTTTTCATCTGGGCTGCCAACAGGTGCTGACACCCACATTTTAATGTGGGTCTTCCCCCTTCAAATAATCATGAAAATCCTTCACAGGCATGCCTAGAGGTTTGTGCTTTAGCTGATAACCAAGATCAGCCAGCCCATGATTCCAGTTAAATCATTTAAATAATAAGATAGTAGGGCTAGACAGATGGCACCATGAATAAGAACACTGACTACTTTTACAGTGGACCTGAGTTTAATTTACAGCAACACATAGCAGTTCAAAGCTGCCTGCAACTTGCAACTTTCTGTAATTCCAGCTGCATGTGATCCAGTGCCCTCTTCTGGCTTTCCCAGGCATTGAATACATGTGGTACACTTACATGTATGCAGGCAAAACACTCATACACTTACAAAAATTTTAAGGTAATTGTGATTAAATTATTTTATTCTCTGAATATCTTCACATTAGCAGATGATGATCTCTACCCCACCCCCTCAGGAGCAATAATGATGTTTGGAGTATTTTACACAGTTCAACCAGTTCTCTTTGATACTCTGATGTAGAGATACAGTGATTTATCAGTGAAATTACCATATAGAATTTCAGGTGGTAGCATTTCAAGGGTAGGACATGATTTATCAATGATTCATTTATACTTTATGGTGTGTTTTCAATAGCTTGTTTTCAACTAGGTATTAATAGGTAATACTTTCACTATTTTCATCCCTATAAAGGCCAAACTACAGTGTTGAGGCCAATATTACCTATAAATGTCAGGAAGGATGTTAAATTTGTCAATATAACTCAAACATTCTTTTTGTTTAATATATGTGCTAGTTAGTTTTTGTCAACTTAATGAGAACTAGAGTCACCTAGAAAGAATTTCCCAGATGAGAGTGGTCTGTGACCATATCTATGAGGCATTTTGTTAATTGCTAGTTGATGTGAGGGGGCCCGGCCCACTCTGGGCAGTGATCTCCCTAGACATGTGGGCCTGGGCTGTATAAGAAAGGACGTTGGGCAAGCAAGGAGAAATGAGCAGTGTTCCTCCATGGTTTCTGCTTCAGTTCCTGCCTTCAGGTCACTTCCTTCATTGATAAACTGTGGCCTGGGCATTCTAGGTTAAAATAAACCCTTTCCTTGCCAGGTTGCTTTTTGGTCATGGTGTTTAACACAACAGAAAGCTAACTAGAACAGTAACCCATTTTTTGATTCACTTCATGTTATTTGTTTGCCATGCCCCTTTTCTCATTCAAATTCTCCTTCAGGGAATTTATTTGACACTCTACTGTCCATGGCTATAGTCCTTTTGTGATTTGCAGTATCATGATAATAATCCTACCAACATAATCATATTTTCCCTAATGTCATTCCATGTTATAGTCTCTCAGAGCCCTAAGTTCTGTCATCTTTCAGCACAGCACACCATTAAGATTTCTAAGCTTAAAATTTCCATAATAATTACACCTGGTTTGTATTAATTTACCTTCATTTTCACCAACCTTTTAATTTTTTCACCTGACTTTCATCTTTTGCCCCAGTTTTTCTTCAGGCTTTTTTTTTTTTTTTCTATTGTGGTTATTTCCGCCTCACTACTCACGCTTTTTCTAATGTATTAGTTATTTTTCTGTTGCTGTAATAAATGCCATCACCAAGGTAACTTGTAGAAGGGGAGAGTTTATTTGGTTTATGGTTCCAGAGGGAGTCCAAAATGGCAAAAGAAGCCTGGCAGCAGAAGGCAGCCAGGCAGGAAGCTGAGCACTTACATCTCCAAGGACAAACAGGAAGCAGAGAAAGAACGCTTTTTCTAATGTATTAGTTATTTTTCTGTTGCTGTAATAAATGCCATCACCAAGGTAACTTGTAGAAGGGGAGAGTTTATTTGGTTTATGGTTCCAGAGGGAGTCCAAAATGGCAAAAGAAGCCTGGCAGCAGAAGGCAGCCAGGCAGGAAGCTGAGCACTTACATCTCCAAGGACAAACAGGAAGCAGAGAAAGAAACTGGAAATAAGGCAAGGCTATGAACTCTCAGTCTACCCCAGTGGTGTGCTTCCTTCAGCAAGAATGTACTCCTAAACCCCGCAAATCAGTGCCACCAACCAGGAACAAAACACACAAATGCCGGGAGCCTATGGGGACCTTGTCCTTCAAACCACCTCATCTAGAGTCTCCAGAGGATCTTGCCAGCAGAGTTACCACCCTTTCTCTTCTGCATGACACAGAGCTGTGCTGTCCCTGTCTAGCACTTGAGGCTACTCTCTGAGTCAGTGAAAACCAGTTAGCTGTTTATCAGTCTTTTCACCAATACATAGTGGACTTAGATATTTTTTTTCTAAAATAACCATTCCAAAACTGTGCCATTGTTTATTTCCAAGCTTTTGCTTTAATTGGAAAAATGAGTCAAACCTGCATATTTTTCCCACATCACACCTCTGTGGTATACATATTTTTGAGCATCTAGAAATTTTAATCACCTTAAATACTATGTATCCTGACAAGAATCAGTGTATCAATATGCCAATTACACAAGGAAAAAAAATTATTGAAGGGGATTCATGTTTATAGCAAATAGGAATAGAATGTTGTTGGAGCTTAAAGGCAAGCATATTTAAATCTCCAAGAAATGTTATAAGTTAAGAGAGCAGGAAGATACTGTCAGTGGCAGACTACATTGTTCAAGATGAACAGGCAGGTTTTTGTTTGCTGCATGTTTTTCCTTTGATGATAATGAATTAACTGTTCATTCACACATTCTTTTTTCTGACAGACAGGCCATGAGGGTGTGGAACATGAAAGAAAAATAGGCGTTCTTTCAGTGAACCACTAACAGGGTCAAACCAGCTCTATTTTCTTGTTTTATTTTGTTCACTCTGTGTGGCATAGTTTTCTCCTCAATTGATGCTAATTTCCTTTCATCCCTCAGTAACCTTGATTCATTTAGATAAGAGATTTTTGACCTCAAAGGCCACAATAATGCTTCTTTATTAGCCATTTTGTTCTATATATGTTCCCAGAGTAAGGGAAGTATGTTCCTGAGATGATAGTAATCTTTCTTAAAGGAATGCATGGGAAAGAACAAATGCATCGCTTATATGGTAATATTCGCTGTCTGAACTGGTATTTGTGAGTCTATTTCAGGGCACATCCTTCAGAAGGATAGAACAATCAAAATTGGAGCTAAAATTAGCAGGCTAATGTCAAGGAGGAAAAGGCTTTTCATGTTTGAGCACTGGAGGAATGTAGCAGATACATTAGAAAGGTCAGCTCAATTGCTCTTCTTAAAGCTGAACATCTGTAACTGTGAGTTCCTCTTTGAAGCACCTCATTCAGTGTTGTGAGTTGCATGTGTACATATGAGCTCACCAAATAATGTCTCTCAAGGTCCTAGGGCATGATATTCTGCTAATGCTGCTATTTCCTCCATTCAGTTGATGTGATTAGATTTCCCAGTACATTGAAAATTTTAATTAAATTGTTCAGCTTTACTAACAAAGAATTCTTTCAATTCCTTGAGTTCATTACCTCTCTTGTATTCAGGTTCAAGACCCTGTTTGTTGCTGGAGAAAGATGTGATGTGGATACCCTAGAATGGTCCAAAAATGTCTTCAGAGTCCCTGTCCTAGACCATTGGTGGCAAACTGGTAAGCATTTTCTAAGCACTTTCATAAACATTGCTGAAATGCTCAATGACACTGTGAGGATTGGAGGAAGTTCTTAGTATGCTAATTAAAATTCAGACAGTTCTGCTTCCAGAAGGAAATAAAAAACCACTTTCATAATCTTACTATTTTAAAAATATGTGTATTAATCCTTTGGGAATTTCATACTATGTTATTTGATCATTTTCAGATTCCCTCAAGTCATCCTGGCCCTATTATTCTCCTACATCATAGATATAAACCACTAAAGATGTTATACCGTCTCTACTTTGTTTCTTGTATCCAGTGAGTTGCTAACCCTCAGAATGTCCTTTGACGGGCTGATGGATTTATTCCACCTTCAGCCTTTCCATTGCCTTTGAGTTGTGAAAGGAGCATCTGTCCTGATCTAAGTTACCCCCACCTCTCATCTCTATTTTCTGTGCACTCTCATCCACTCTGCACACTGTTCCCATTGTATACTTTTCACCTTATAACATTGATAGGCTTATTATTTTACAATTTGAAAAGTATATATTATTCTCCTTTATACTCCACAGTCTTATACTTATATTTGTTGCTTAGATTCCTCCTCCATTATCTTATCTTATCCTTTCTACCTCTCATCAAGTCCCCACTTCTCCTCAAATACCTTACATGCTTTTATATCTTTAACTTTGTTTATTATTTTACATTTTGAGAATTTCATGCAGGAAATTCCTCCTCCCTCTCCACGCCTCCCTCTAACCCTTCAACTTCTCCTATGTCCCTCTCCCTCTCAATTTCTTATCTTTTTTAAAAAAAATATTATTGCATATACATATATACACTTATATGTGTGTACATGTGTGTTTGTGTGTTGTGTGTGTTAAACACATTGTGTCCTTTTAGTGGTGCACCTCAGTACATGAGTATACAGCTGACCAGTTGGCTTTGAATAAACATATGTATAACTGAAGGCTATGTAACAAAAATCCTAGTGCCAAGGAAGGGAAAATTCCTTGAGTTGTTGGTTAGGTTAGTCCCAGAGACTTTCAAAATAATATTGGCTGTTGCCATAGCCCTTGGCTGCCTCCCAGAGCTTGAAGGTAAGAACCTATTGCTGAACATACCAGACATTTCGGACTTGGAACAATTGAGCTGGAACTGACTTGAAAGGCTTCCTCATGAAGATCAGCTTTCTTAGTACTGGACAGCACCGTGCAAGCTGCCAAGGAAGAAAACCAATTAATGATTCTACCCAGATAGAAAACCTATGAACCACAGCAGTGATCAGTTCAGCAAAATGTCTCTATTGGTGCAATAGTGACACTTTTATTGTGGGGTAATCAACAGCTGCCTAATTGAACTTAATACCCACTAAGTAGGAGGGAATCCATGCCAAATACCCATCACTGGGTAAAATACAGTGCATTCTTTTCCTTGCCTGGTCAAAATGGAGTATAATTTTTTATAACCTCAAGTGTTCTTCCAGAAATGCTTGCATAAGTTTTGCTTTTACTTCTTAAATGTGACTGTATCAAATCTTATTCAAAGGAAACATCACATTAAAAATAAAATTAGGAATTACATATTCTTCTACATATTTTATAGATGATAGTATATGTAGATGAAAGTTGTTAGTACTTTGAAGCATAAAAATAATTGGTCATTGAAGCCTGTAAAACACGCATATATGTCTCTGGTGTGGACTGAATTTCATGTGAATTTTCAATTTGTCATGAATTCATTGTCGCAGGGAGTTGGGGGTTACACTGTGCCTGTGTTGTCACTGTCTTGTGCAACTCATTACTCTGCAAAATATAAAGGATTTATACCAACAATTTGGCAAATTTCTCTTTCCATTACTTAAATTTAATTTTACCACTCTTTTTGAGAAGAAGCATTTAGTGTTTTATTCAGTTAAGCCTCACAGGTACATAATGATTAGGAAGACAGGTATCTGGGTAGATAGTTTTGTACTTCCTTATGAAATTTCATTCTATGTGATGAAAGCGATACTGGCTAGTAGGATACCTAGTTAGAATTTTTATTTATTTACATAGAATGAATCAATTTATTACTTTCATAGTTGAATGTTTTAGTTAACTGTAAGGTAACATTAAATTTCTGTACTTATTTACATAGAATGAATCAATTTATTACTTTCATAGTTGAATGTTTTAGTTAACTGTAAGGTAACATTAAATTTCTGTACTTGCCACAGTTCTCTTTACTAAGGTGATAGTAAATACACTTACAGAGAAAAAGGCAAATTCTGAATGCGTGATTATTAATTCTGAGAGAAAGAAATAAAAAAAACCCTGGTGTTTCTAGCACATCAATGAATGTCCTAATATTTTACTAATCAAATAGATGCTTGCTTATTTTCCTGAGAAATATGTTCAAAATACAATAATCCTTAGCTGGGCATGGTGGTGCATGCCTTTAATCCCAGCACTCTGGAGGTAGAGGCAGGCAGATCTCTGAGTTCAAGGCCAGCCTGGTCTACATAGTGAGTTCCAGGCCAACTGGGTCTACAGGAAGACACTGTCTCAAACAGTGATGTTTGACCTAAGAAATAATTTCTGTGTGGCAAATTTTACATGTTCTATAGAGCTACTGGAAGTGATATTTATACAGACTTGCAAACTTTTTCGTTGTTTTTTTGAGACAGGGTCTCCCTGTACCTCAAGCTCATCTGAAATACTCCATGTAGACCAGGCTGCTCTCAATCTCACAGAGATCCATCTGCTTCTGCCAACTGAGTTCTGGGATTAAATGCAAGCTACAGCATGCCTCCTTGAGGGGGAATTTGATTAGTCTGGATTTTATGAAACTAGACCTAAAGGATCCAGCAAACTTCAGTCATGCCAGTTGTTAAATCAAAACCATTGCTCAAACACTGATACCATGTTTTTTTAAAAATTATTTATTTAATAACCACATACTTAGAAGAAGCATTTCATTACAACAACATTGACATATTCAATAACAGTTTCCAGAGCTAAGATGCATCTCTTTTAAAATTCGCTGTAAATTTTTAGGTTTAAAGTTGAATTATTATAGTTATACAATATTGTACTCAGTATAAACCCTATAAGATACAAAATTAAATGAGGTTTTAACCTTTAACAAAGATCTCCATTTCATTATTAAAATACACAGTTTCATACAGAAAGCTTGATTTTTAATGCAATTGACATTAAGATGTTTGCACATGCATTTCTATTCTCTGTATATCTGATTGTTACTAGTCACAGTCGGTTACTTTCTGAGCTCCTTGGCATCTAAGCATGGACAAAAAGTCATCAGGTATATTTCAATGGTAATATTTTTCACATCTACTAATTACTAAGGAGCAAATTTTATGCTTTGAAGAATTATTATTTTATCATTATTTTTTTTAATTTTTAATAACATGATTAGAAGAAGCATTTCACTACAGCTTTAACATATTTAGTAACACACTCCAGAGCAAGAGTACATCTCTTTCACAAGTGGCTGTTTCTAGGCTTACACTTGAATTAAAACAGTTACACAATATTGAACTCAGTATAAGCCCTGTAAGACATAAAATTGAATGAGTTTTTAACCATTAAAAAAGATCTCCATTTCATTTTAGAATATATTGTTCCTTGCAGAAAGACTCATTGTTTTTGCTACTAAAGCTGAGATGTTGGCTCACACATCTCTAATCTGTATGTATCTGATTATTACTAATCATAATCAGTTGCACTTGGATCATTGGCGCCTGTGTATATCTATAAAGTTATCGGGTAGATTTCAGTGGTAATGTTTATCACCCCTACTAATTAACATGATGTAAATTTCCATGCTTCTTCCTCAAATATAATACATATTTTAAATTTGTTGATTTTCTTTGTGTGTGTATATCACATAGAACATCCCAAACCATCTTATTCAACTATACACCCACTTCCCAGATGGCACCCTCCCATAGCCTCCCTCCCTGCACTAGAGCCCTTATACTCTGATATCCCTGCTACTGTCTGCTGTGTGGTCAGCACCCTCATCCATTCCCCACTACTTGCCCTTCTGGTGAATCTAGTCAACCTATCTGGAGGTCTTTGTTTTAGGAGATTCATCTGCTCCTCATCTAGCAGCCATCAGTTGTCAATATTCCTTTAGATACGATTGGGGTCTGCTGTTCATTTTCCCAGTTCTATGAGGTAAAGGAAAAGAAAGAACCTGAAAGAGAAAAACAGTAGGAAACAGGCCTTAATAAGGGAGATATGGATAAAAATTGGGTTAGTTTAAGGGAGGGGGGAGGGAAGGATATACAAGGAACCTACGGGATAAAGGGAAAGAAGGAGCTCAAGAGAGGTAGGACCATAGGAGAAGGGTATTATTAAGGGAGAAAGAGGGGAGATGGGGGCAACTTAAGTGGGAAAACCATGATGGAGGAGTGAGACAATGTGAGAGATAAATAATGCCTAGCTAGTTTTGAAGAGCAGAGGGAACTATATGACTCCTACAACCTACTGACAAATTATACATAGCAGATCAAGAAATATATGTCTAGGTAAGGTTTATCTGAGAACAACTGGTC